CCATCACTTTCTCTGGAAGTTCATTCCACACTTAGCGTATTTGCCCCTTGCCCTTTTTAAATCTTTCTCCTCTCACCTTAAAAATATGCAGCCTAGTTTTGAAGTCCCCCACCCTAGGGAAAAGAGACCTGCTATTCACCTTGTTTATACCCTCATAATTTTATAAACCTCTATTAGGTCACCACTCAACCTCCTATGCTCCAGAGAAAGAAGTCCTGGACTATATAGCCTCTTCTGGTAACTCAAACCTTCCATTAGTGGCAACATCCTGGTCAATCTTTTCTGAGCACTCTACAGCTTAATAATATCCTTCCTATAGCAGGGTGACCCAGAACTGCACACACTACTCCAGAAGAGGCCTCACCAACATTCGGTATAACCTCAACAAGAGTGGCACGGTGGCTCAGTTGTTAGCACTGCTGTCTCAGGGACCTGGGTTCAATTCCACCCTCGGGCGGCTGTCTGTGTGGAATTTGCACATTCTCCCTGTATCTGCATAGGTTTCCTCCCACTGTCCAAAGATGTGTAGGTTAGGTGGATTGGCCATGCTAAATTGCCTAGGTGGATTAGCCATGGGAAATGCAGCGTTACAGGATAGAGTGGGAGGTTGGGTCTGGGTAGGAGGGTCAGTGCAGATTCAGTGTGGCAAATGGCCTGCTTCCAAACTGTAGTATTCTGTGAATATGATGTCGTAACTCCTATACTCAAAGGTCTGAGCAATGAAGGCAAATGTGCTAACTGCCTTCTTAACCACTCTGTCTACATGTGATGCAAACTTCAAAGAATTATGTACCTGAACCCCTAGGTCTCTCTGTTCTACAAGACCCTACTTTTAAATGTATAAGTCCTGCCCTTGTTGGTTTTACCAAAATGCAATCCCTTGCATTTATCCTTCCCCAGTTAGCTAGTTTAAACCAGCCCTAGCAGCACTAGCGAAGGTGTCGGTCCCAGTCATGTTATAAGGTGGAACATTTCCAGCTTGTACAGGTCCCACCTGTACCAGAAGCAGACCTAATTCCTCAAGAGGCTGACGTTGTCCCGCCTACAACAGATCTCCAGCCACATATCCTATCGATCTGCACTTATGCATGTGGCTCTTCCAAACTCCCTAAAATCTGATTTAGAAAATGAGGTGTGAAGACGCGAAGTGTCCTGCTGCCAACTGGTGCCCAGCTCTTTCTGTTGGAAAATAGATGAAGCGAATAATATAGAAGGATTTGTTGACTGGTTTAGATGAAGGGAGGTGTACTTGTGAAATATGAATCAGTTGAATGACCTGTTCCTTTGCTTCATGTTCTTTGTATGTATCAACCTCTTGTGACCAGGTCTTCTGACCTCAGTAACATTTTAGTATCTCTACTTGATCCTCCTTTATAGTCCTCATTACGCTGTCATTCTCCAAAGGCAACCGTGATTTGTCATTTTGATTTCCCCTTTCCGGTTATACCAGCATCAGAGTCTCTACCCATCTCTGTAGCTCAGCTACAATGCTGCCAGAGATTGAATAGTGAGTGATGTGGTTTGTGTTTTCCTATGTTGGTACATGTAACCTATATCATGGATAATCAAGCTGTTCTCAAGTCAGGTATCTTGAAGCTTACTTACTACAAGGCTGTAACATATGGTCTGGGTTCTATAATGGAGGTTTCTGTGGAGGAGACTGATTGTTTTATGTTACTGAAATGAGTTGAGATTTAAGGTATTTTAATATAACTGCTTATTTGATATTCCATGAAGTACTTACTCACAGACTTAACTCAAAGACTACTCAGTGGCATCTCTCTTCAAAATCTCTCCAACATTGTATGAGCTCTTACGATGCCACTGATGTACCCTATTATTTATACATTCAAATATTAACCTTATACTTTGTACACGAATAGTCATGGAAATCTGCAATTCTCTCCCCTAAAAATTGTTGAGGCCCTGGGATCCATATAGATTTCCTGGGATATTTCTTGGGTTCAGAGACCACATAAACTCTATATCACTTCTTGCTATCAATTTAATTTCATTTCTTGCTAACAAGGCAACCTTGCCCTCTGCCCATCTGTCTGTCCTTTCAAAAGGATATTTGTGAGGCCTCTTTTAGAATACTTGGTGCAATTCTTGTCTCCCTTCTATAGGAAGGATATTGTTAAATTTGAGAGGGTGCAGAAAAGATTGATAAACATGTTGCTGAGACTGGAGGTGTTGAGCTTTAGGGAGAGGCTGAATAGACCGGGGCTTTTTTCCCTGGAGCATCAGAGGCCTTATAGAGGTTTATAAAATCATGAGGGGCACGGATAGGGTGAATAGCCAACGTCTTTTTCCCCAGGGTGGGGGAGTCCAAAACTAGTGGGCATAGGTTTAAGGTGAGAGGGGGAAGATTTAAAAGGGATCTAAGGAGCAACTTTTTCATGCAGAGGGTGGTGCATGTATGGAATGAACTTACAGAGGAAATGGTGGAGACGGGTACAATTACAACGTTTAACAAGCACCTGGATGGGTAAATGTGTAGGAAACGTTTGGACAGATATGCTGGCAAATGGGACTAAGTAAGATTTGAATGCCTGGTCGGCTTGGACGAGTTGGACCAAAGGGTCTGTTTCCGTGCTGTATGACTCTATGGCTTTATGGATATGGGCAGGTGGAGCTAGGATTCAGACCAGCTTAATTGGCGAGTAGAACTAGCTTGATGGGCTGAATGGACTCTAGCTGATTTTTTTTATACGTTCCATCCACGGCGATGCCATGACCCCTTTGGTTTCCCTGCTAGATTTGGGAAAAGCCAATAAATTAGATCATGTCCCAGATATCAGGAATCAATGTCTTCCTCAAAACAAAAGATCGAGATATAGTCCACATTACTGATCTCTGCACGACAAGAAATAGCTACCAGGCTCACCAAGGGGCTGCAGTGTTGGAATATACAGCACTGTTCCAAGTTACTGGCAAGGCCATTGTTTGTTCCTTGTCCCTAATTGCCCTCAAACCAAGTGACCCAACCACTCCCATTACCAATGGGATGGCAGGACTGATGTATGATGGGGGACTGTATCGGTTAGGACTATATTCGCTAGAGGTTAGAAGAATGAGGCAGGATCTTACAGAAACCTATAAAATTCTGACAGAATGAGACAGGATAAACACAGGAAGGGTGTTCCCAATGACCAGGGGAGTCCAGAACCAGGGCTCACAGCCTAAGGATGCGGGGTAAACTATTTAGGACTGAGATGAGGAGAAATCTCTTCACCCAGAGCCTGTGAACCTGTGGAAATTCACTGCCACAGAACGCGGTTGAGGACAAAACATTGAATGTTTTCAAGAAGGAGTTAGATATAGTTCTTCGGGCTAAAGGGATCAAAACTTGTGGGGAGAAAGCAGGAGCAGGGGACTAAGTGGGATGATCAGCTGTGATCATATTGAATGCTGAAGTAGGTTCAAAGGGCAGAATGGCTTACACTTGCTCCTATTTTCTCTGCTTCAACCACGTTGGTGTGGATCTGGAGTCACGTATAGGCCAGACTGGGTGAGAATGGCAGATCTCACACTCTCACACACACGCACACCCACACACACCACACACACAACCTGGGAGCCACTGTGTTGGATCTCTCGTTGTTAGATTTCTTCATTAATGAAACCAGATTGGGTTCCATGACAATTCATGACAACTCCCACAGGACACTGAGGCTTGTTGAGTAAATCCAGATTTCACTTGGAAGGTTAGCAGGAAAGCTTTCTGAGGCACAGTTGGGAGCCAGCAGCAGGGTGGGTGGTGTGGACAGTCTGTAGTTAGAATGGGGGAGAGGTTTAGTGAAATAGGGTGATCTGAAGCTTACTTAGAGGGGGTCAGGACTGGTTGGTTTGCTGGGAGGGGCATTAGTGGCTGGGGTTGCTGGGATAGCTGGATTGCAGATCATAAGGTCAAAAAGTCACAGAGATGTACAGCACAGAAACAGGCCCTTTGGTCCAACTGATCAGCTATCTTAAATTAATCCAATCCCATTTGCCAGCATTTGGCCCACATCCCTCTAAACCCTTCCTATTCGTATACCCATCCAGATGCCTTTTAGATGTTGTAATTGTACCAAACTCCACAACTTCCTCTGGCAGCTCATTCCATACATGCACCACCCTCTGCATGAAAAAGTTGCCCCTTGGCTCCCTTTTAAATCTTCCCCCTCTCACCTTAAAACTATTCCCTCTAGTTTTGGACTCCCCAACCCTGGGAAAAAGACCTTGGCTATTCACCCTATCCTTGCCCCTCATGATTTTATAAATTTCTATAAGGGTCGACAAAACAATGCAGTCGTGTGTCCCAAACAAGTGATAGGCTGATTATTTAATTTGATAAAGCTCTGCTGACTACATTGAGGGTCCAATTAAATCTATTTATAGAGGAAGCTTGCCTCATTTAACTCGAACACCCACCTTCGGATACTGTCTGTTTGTTTCACTTCTCTACAACATAAAGACCAAGTAATGATTTTCAGACTTGCAGCAGAACAGGAGCTTTGCACCAGACACAACATGTCATTATCTGATCCGGAGACAGCATAAAGCAGAGGAAATTCAAAGAATTGAATTCTTTAATTTATCATCCATTGGCCCTGCCCCAGTACTGAAACAGCTTTTATTAAAGCCCCATCTGACCTCTGTCAGATTGCAATAACCTCTCCCTCTGCCTTCCTCTCAACCTGTCTCCAACCTTTGACACAGAGCCTACGCCATCTTCCTCCAACACCCTGTCCACTGTCATAGAGTCATACAGCATGGAAACAGACCCTTCAGTCCAACTTGTCCATGCCGACCAGATATCCTAAATTAATCTAGTCCCATTTGCCAGCATTTGGCCCACATCCCTCTAAACCCTCCCTGTTCATACACCCATCCTTTGTCTTTCTCTTTTCAGTTCATAAACTTGTATACTTTCTAATACATTTCAAACTGTATAGAGAGTTCTGAACAAGAGTTGCACCGGACCTGAAACATTAACTCTGTTTTTCTCTCCATAGATGCTTCCAGGCCTGCTGAGTTCCTCCAGAATTCAGTAAGACAGAATTGCTTTAAGCTGTGGTCACACTCAATGATGCTGGTAACAATATAGACAGATCAATTTGAAGACCATGAATGCTGTAATAAAAAAAGATATATATAGAAATAAATAAGATGAATAAATATTGAGTGTAAAGTAGTATTAGATTGTTCCTGAGATTACATGTTACAAGGCCTTTCATCCCAGCAGAGTGAGAATATCAACAAAGGTAAAGCTTGAGGAAAAGCAATGGTAGGAATTAGCAACATGATATGAAAAGGCGTGGACCCCTCATCTCTTTGGCAGTAACTTCGAAAAACTCAGTGGTTATACAATCTCACCTTGGTTGTATTCAGCATGGAAAGAAGTATGAAAGACAACACTATCAAGTAACGTCATTTTCATGTTTATAAAGAAACCGTTGGTTCCTTCTAGAATCAGTGACATGTAGTGGCTTGGAGCAGCCTTGATTAATTAAATTGATTACTAAAGCTTTGATTTTCTATCCTGGGTCAGAGTCACAGAGTCGGACTCCCTGAACCCATCCCTTAAGAATGGCTACCCACATTTCGGATTTGCAGTCCAGGGTGGGGAAGCACTTGGGTTGGCAGTTGGGTCAGGTGACCTGAGAAGACCCTAAGAAGCTGCCCAGTCCCGTGTCGTCTATGCAGAGAGACACTACCAGCTCTCACCTGGTTCTATTCTCACCCATCTCGTTGGAGCCAGAGAATTCCCTGCAACTGTTTCTCTTCCTGCTCCTGCACTGTTCCCTCCGGAGTTCCCCAGTAATCTATCCTTGCTCCCTCCGATTTCTCACCTACACACTGCCCCTTGGGGAGATGGTCTGATAGTGCAGTGTTAGCTTCGCTGACTGTTGCAAGGGAACTTTAAGGGGGAATATGCTCAAGAACAACTAACTGCCAAGTTCACAATGAAAATCAAATAACCGATTGCTCATCACGGTCTGACAAACTCTGTGGGTTAGTTTAATTACAACAGTGAAAACACATCACAAGTTGTAAAGCAGACATTGTAGCAACCTACTGATTTCTGGGCTTGAAGCCTTGGGAATCTACAGCAGGCTCACTGGCATGATGTGGAGGTGCCAGTGTTGGAATGGGATGGACAAGGTCAGAAATCACATGACACCAGGTTACAGTCCAACAGGTTTATTTGAAAACACAAGCTTTCAGACCCTCATTCCTTCTTCAGGTGTTAGTGAGAGAGGTCGTATCAGACACAGAATTTATAAGTAAGAGATCAAAGGGTCGCTTCACTGATGAGGATGTATTAAACAAACCTAAGATGCTGTTAAATCTTTAGTCAGTTAGAAGGTTTTAATTGATTAATACTTATATGTGAATCTCCGAATTAAAGATTTAACAGTGACTTAGGTTTGTTTAGTACATCCTCATCAGTGGTGTTATAAATCACTCAGAGATAGTAAGAACTGCTGATGCTGGAATCAGAGATAACACAGTGTGGAGCTGGAGGAACACGGCAGGCCAGGCAGCCTCAGAGGAGCAGGAAAGCTGACGTTTCAGGTCGGGTCACTTCTTCAGAAATGGGGAAGGGAGCTCTGAAATAAACAGAGAGAGGAGAGGTGGGGCTGGGAAAGGCAGGTGGGATAGCGATAGGTGAGTGCAGGTAGGCAGTGGTGGGGATTGGTCAGTGAGGTGGGAGGAGTAGGTAGGTGGGAGAGAGGCCGGACAGGTTGGGGAGGCGGGAATGAGAGGGAGGGTTGGTCATGGGATGAGATCGGGGGTGGGGAGATTTTGAAACTGGTAAAGTCCACGTTGAGACCATTGGGTTGTAGGCTCCCAAGGCGGAATACCTACAACCCAATGGTCTCAACATGGACTTTACCAGTTTCAAAATCTCCCCACTCCCGTCCTCATCCCATGACCAACCCTCCCTCTCATCCCTCCCTCCTCGACCTGTCTGTCTTCTCTCCCTCCTATCCGCTCCTCCCACCTCACTGACCAATCCCCACCACTGCCTACCTGCACTCACCTATCGCCATCCCACCTGCCTTCCCCAGCCCCACCCCTCCTCTCTCTCTATTCATTTCAGAGCCCCCTTCCCCTCCCCCATTTCTGAAGAAGGGTCCCGACCCGAAATGGCAGCTTTCCTGCACCTCTGATGCTGCCTGGCCTGCCGTGTTCCTCCAGCTCCACACTGTGTTATCTCATCAGTGGTGTGACTCTTTGATCTTTTAATTTGTCAATTCTGTGTCTGATACTCCCTCTCTCACTAACACCTGAAGAGTAAGTGAGGCTCCGAAAGCCTGTGTTTTCCAATAAACCTATTGGACTATAATCTGGTGTCGTGTGATTTTTGACCTTGGCTAACTGGCAGGCAGAGTCATAACATTGAATACACAGAAACCAAGGAGTCCTTGAAGTGAACCCTCTTAAAGACAAGATACATATGTGACTTTTTTTTTCCAGAAGTAAGGTTAACTATTTACAATATTGACTGAGTTTATAAAGTACAGGTAATTTGCTGTTGGCAACACTTTTTGTTTCATGGAGTGCAACTGCTGTCCCAAAATAGAGTAAATAGCCAAGGTCTTTTCCCCAGGGTAGGGGAATCCAAAACTAGAGGGCATAGGTTTAAGGTGAGAGTGGAAAGATTTAAAAAGGACCTGAGAGGTAATTCTTTCATGCAGAGGGTGGTGTGCGTATGGAATGAGCTGCCAGAGGAAGTGGTGGAGGCTGGTACAATTTAGAAGGCATTTGGATGGGTACATGAATAGGAAATATTTAGAGGGATATGGGCCAAATGCTGGCAAATGGGACTAGATCAATTTAGAATATCTGCTTGGCACAGGCGAGTTGGATCAAAGTGTTTGTTTCCATGTTGTACAACTCTGTGGTGGCATGAATGTTGATCATTGGGCAGTCAGTTTTGAGAATCGTGGCTTTTTAGATCGAGTGAATTCTTTTATCTTGGCACCTTCAGGGATTGACACCTGAGAACATTTACCCCAGTGTGTACAGGTCTCATTTATCCTCATGATCTATGAGACAACCAAGAACACATGATCTGACAAACTTCTACTCTGTCAGGTTTCATGCTCTTGATAACATGAAAAGTCAAGCATGGCATCAGGTCAAAAATACATCTGCAATTTAAATGCCATGGGTGACTTTGAAACCATTGCCAACAATCATAAGAAACCCAGCTGGTTTGTTAATGTCCTTTAGGAAAGTAAATCTGCCATCCTTCCCTGGTCTGGCCTACATGTGACTCCAGACCAACAGTAATGTGTTGCCTATTAGCAGCTCTTTGAAATGGCTGAGCAAGCACTCAGTTGCATCAACCACTAGAATGGGAAAAACTGAAACTGGACATATCACCAAGCATTGACTGAGACACTGGAAACGACAATGTCAAACACAGCCCTGTCTATCCTGCTATGTCTTCCTCACTAACATCAGGGGGCTAGTGCCAAAATTGGGAGAGCTGTCTCACAGACAGGTGAAGAAACAGCCTGACATAGTCATACTCACAGAATCATACCTTACAGGCAATGTCGCAAACACCACCATCACCATCCCTGGAAATGTCCTATTCCACCAGCAGGACACACCCAGCAGAGCTGGCAGCACAGTGGTATACCTCCTCGAAAAATTAAATCAAGTTAGTAGAACATGACCTGGCCCGCACAAAGCTATGCTGACTGTCCCTAATTAGGCCATAACAAAAACAAAGTTGCTGGAAAAGCTCAGTAGCATCTGTGGAGGAGAAAACAGAGTTAACGTTTCGGGTCCGGTGACCCTTCCTCAGAACTCAGTCGCTAATTATGCCATGCTTTTCCAAATGTACGTAAATCCTATCCGTAAAGAATTCTCTCCAATAGCTTCCCAACCACTGATATGAAGCTCACCAGTCTATAGTTTCCCAGATTATCCCTATTTCCCTTCCTGAACAGAGGAACAACATTAGCTACTCGCCGATGGTCCGGAACCTCTCCAGTGGTTAATGAGGATACAAAGATCTTGGTCAAGGCCCTAGCAATCTCCTCTCTTCCCTCTCTCAATAATCTGATTAGATATCCTCGCCACCTGGGGGCTTATTCACCTTAATGCTCTTCAAAAGACCAAATACGGCTTTCTTGATTTCAAAATGCTGTAACATATTAGCATGCTCGACACAAATCTCACTATCCTCCATATTCTTCCCCTGGATGAATACCAACATAAAGTGCTCATTTAGGATCTCACCCACATCCTCTGCCTCCAAGCACAAGTTCACTCCCTTATCTTTGAGCAGTCCTACCTTCTCCCTAGTTATCCTTTTGTTTTTAATGTATCTATGGAATGCCTTGGGATTCTCCTTAACCCTACTTGCCAGGGTCATTTTATGGCCCCTTCTTGCTCTCCTAATTCCCTGCTTACTGTATATTCCTCATGGGTTCTGTCCAATTTTAGCTTCCTAAACCTTACACGTTTTTCTCCCTTGTTCTCCAAGGGTCCCTTACCTTGCCATCCTCGTCCTTCCTCCTAACTGGAACATGCTGGTCCTGAACTCTGATCAGCAAGTCTTTAAACAACTCCCACATGTCAAATGTGAACTGCCTGATAACAGCTCCTCCCAATTAACAATCTCTAGCTCCTGCCTAATACTGACATAATTTGCTGTCCCCTGATTTAGTACCTTCCCGCAAGGTCTTGACTTATCCTTATTTGCAGCTATGTTAAAATTTAAGGAATTGTGGTCACTGTTTCCAAAATGCTCTCCCACTGAAAGGGGAGTCACCTGGCCAGACTCATTAGCCAACACAAGGTCCAGTATGGTCCCTCCTCCAGTAAGATAATCCACATATTGCTTCAAGAAACCCTCTTGGGTGCATTTAACAAATTCTGCCCCATCTAAGCCTCTTGCTCTAAGGGAGTCCCAGTCAGTATGGAGGAAGTTAAAGTTACCCACTATGACAACCCTGTTGTTATTGCATCTTTCCAAAATCTGCCAACATATCTGTTCCTCAATGTCTCGGTGGCTGCTGGGGTGGGTGGGGTGGGGGGGTGGAGGTGGGGTTTGGGGGGTGGCTACAGCATAATCCTATCAGAGTGATTGTACCCATCTTATTTTTGACCTCTATCCATATTGCCTTATTGGATGAGCCCTCCAGTATGTT